AACTTGCAGCGTTTGTACGCAGTGCTTCTTCCATCTCATTTTAACGTACTTGTTTCAATTTAAGATTATAAGTGAAGTTATTTTTCTCATTTAATTTATTGAGAATTAGGATGGCATTAAAAAATAAAATTTACATACTTAACTACATAAAAAAATTCTTCAAAAAATGATCTGACATGATTATATTATTTTATCAAATAGATAATAAAAATAATTAGGAAATCAGTACTAATTAAAGAAATAAACCAGTGTGATGATCATGTGTATAAAAGAATTTTTGAAGTTCTTAGATCAAAATTCTTGTAATGATGCATTGAAATACAAAAACAAAAAGGCAATTTGTACTGAGGGGCGCACACCACAAATATAAGTTGAACTTTCAAATGTTCCCTACATAACATGAAAATTATCACAACATACAGGGAATAGAGTGTAATCTCAGCCCAAAACAGAGAAGATAACAAAAAAATAGATGGACTGCTACGATTTGATGCCTATAGAAGAAGAAAGCCAACCATTTCCCGGTGTTTCTAATCATCTCTAATACATACACTCGCAATATAAAAGAGTAACGACAACTCAAATAGCAGAATAAAAGAGAACATTGCAGAAAAACCTATTCTTCATCGTCGTCATCATCTTCGCCATCTTGCTCTTCATCCTCTTCAGAGCCATCACAATCCTCCTGCAATATTACCTCAATCAAAACAATACCCAAACACAAGATTAACAAGATTAAGTTCACGTTGTTTGGGTTCCCTTAGTTACCTAGTACAGCATATTATCTAACGGATTAACCCATTTACTTCTTGGTGTTCAGTCCAAGATATTTACAGTGTTCTCAGTTTATCTACCTTGCCAGTAGTCAATGCCAAAGCTATGAACCTAAATCAGTTTCATTTAAACTTGGAGCACACGTTTTTCGTGTACAACTTATAACAAAACCCAAGTAAACACTAATTAATAGGCTAAAATGGTTCACAAGAATACTCTGAGATAGACAGAGACTTGGGGTAGCCACATCAGTAGGATGTGCCTTGCAATAATTATCACAAGAAATGTATAATTATCGCCAAGCACAAAGTTTCTGCAGAACACAATTTACAATTTTTTTAATCAATGAGTTCTATAACCGAAAACCGATGTTTCCAGCTTCATGTATCAATGCTTTGTTTTTAAAGAACAAGAAACAATTTTAATAACAATCCACTCCGTTTAAGGCACACCATGACTTGCACCGAAAACCACTTTTAAATCTAACCACTAATTTCTAGAGACAATTGTCTTTGAAAGAAGCAAAGGAGATGTATACTATTACAGTATTACCGTTATACATCCTAATTCAGACATTTCTATATGCATGAAAACTATGGTGACTATTCATTTAAAGATTCAGATGACCAATGTTCGTTCATAATCAAGACTCAAGAAAAGCCCAACAGATTTGGTAATCAATCATCATTTACCTCGTCATCAACCTCAAATTCTTCATCTTCAGCTCCTTGCTGTGAATGAAATTTATAAAATATTACGTTACACCACTCTGCTAAGCAATCAAAGAATGTTTGCCAATAAAGAGCAGAATGACGACTAGTAACTAACATTATTGAAGTAAGAAAGGGGGTCAGGCCAAATGTCCTCCTTGAATAACTCAGCAATCTGCATTAAAAAAAAAGATCGGGTTACCTCTATGCATCCAAAATTCTAGGTGAAAAAGCAATGTGGTTATCTTGCTATCTTTACATGATGCCTATAATTAAAATGCATGCATGAGCCCTTCAACCTATTTTCTTTAGGATGAATCTATCGATTTTGCTGACAGAAGAGCTCATTTTAGGGCTAGATTCTACATTAGCTATGAATGTGTGATAACCCTTTTTGAGTGCTTCTAGACCTAGTCTCTGATTTACACTATACCTCATCATGAATGTCACAAAAATCTTCATCTTTTTGCTGGGCGTCAGTGAACCAGGAGAAGAAGCTGCAATCAAAGTAGCCAAAAGCAAACTCAATGTGTTTCAAAAGTATAAACATATAGAAGGGCATGTACTCCTCAACTTATTATTCTTATTACTTTTCTTCTTGGAATCAAATCAGATCAGATCAACAAAAATCCATATAAAAAAAATTTAGATCAGATTAAACTAGATCAGAACATATACAACTTTAACTGGAACTGGATCCGATCAAATCTGAACAAAAAGATTCAGATTGGTTCAGATCAGAAAGACTCTGATTAGTTCAGATCGGACCATAATAAATTCAAATGAGAAGCTATCACATCAAATGAAAAGGACATGCTCTTACATAATGCCCCATCATTTATGTATGGGCTATAGTTTAGTTACATTGTAATAAATAGTGGTTAGTTGATAAAAATATGTGAGCCCTTAACAACATTCATCATTCTTTTAAAAACTCTTCTGCACCCACCGTAATTTCACATTGCTTCGACGAGTGTCGCCCGATAAAAAAAATACAAGTTTGGGAATTCAAAGAATTTGGATTTGGATTTGGACCAAAATTTTCTAATTCAAAAGAAACTTAATAACAAATCCACACCTCCCCCCTGTCATTTACAAATCAAAGCACAAACTTTTCCTTAATTTACAAACAAAAAAAAGTCATCTTCTCTTACGCAAGAATAATTCCATACATATCAAACCACTTCTTTCTTCAACTTTGCGGACTTCAAAATTCAAAATCTAGAATTGAAATTTTACGGTTTTCCAAACAACATTTGGAATTTGAAATCATTGACTTTCAAATATTGGAATTGAAATCTAAGATTTCACATGAATTCTAGTTACCAAAAATTACCCGAAGGAATGTCTAAGTGTTATTAACTGTTCAAGCGGCAAACATAAAGAACTTAAAACTAGTTTTTTTGTTGGTTTATAATGTATAGTTTCAGACTTTCAGTATAAAACTTCAAGTTCCTGTATGGGTGCAAAGGATGGTAACAATAAATTAACTATTGGTATACCCCAATAACACATCACAAAGGTACTGATACATACTACTTGATGCTTTTCATGTCATATTAAGTCTAACATTTAGATAACCTATGTAGTATGTACTCCTAAGCTCAATCAATCATTGGGTATACAGACTTCACGATTCATTTATCTGACCAACTTGTCAATATGTATCCAAATTACTCCCTTACTTCCCATCATCAAAAAATAATACTTCCTGATCTCCTCATCTCCTTTTTAATTCATAATTTGATTCTGCCACGATTTTTAATAAAGTGGAAACTATGTAGTTGAAAATTGTTTAGGAGAGAAACATTATCAGTTAAGGAATCTTTTCCAAAAAGAGAACATATGAGATTATATTGGAACAGATAAAAAAGGAAGAATGAAGATTAAAAAGATGTGTAGTGGAAATTCAAATGAAAAGGTTTATTTACTCACAGAAGTAAATAAATTAGATAGCTTCTGTGCTTCCCGTAAAATAATGGATACACGTAATATGGATCACATACTCGTGTACATCATTAAATTAAATGAATATGTTATCCCACATTATTCAATAGGCATTCATACAAATTCCCTTTCTCATCATTTCACACAAGTAGGAAACATATGTTGTCCCTCGCATTTCTAGCAGGTTTTGAAAGCTTTTCATGTACATTTTTAACTATGGAATGCCACTTAACTCTACACAGAAGAAAGCAAGTTCAAAACTTTGGGAAAAGTTGGTGATGTATACAACAGTAAAATCACAAATATCAGTTAATTAAATAGACAGACCTTTCTTCTTGTGGAGGACGCGTATTTCCTTTCTTCTCATTAGCGTCTCCATTTTGGATTGCCTTCACAAGGCAAAACGCAAAGCTTTCAAAAAGACTAACCTAATAAGGTGCAAATGTACTGGACAGAAAAGGATGCAACTTACCATGCCTTCTTTCCATTTGATAGTAGTGGCAGTAATTTTTGTTGTACCGTCCTCTTGGAAGGTATAGCTCTTAAAGAGCTTCGTATCTTCAAAATAAGGGTTGGGCTTAAAATTCTGGTAAAGGCAAGTAGAAAGTGAGAATGCATGTCATTGCCTGGTTAAATCTAGCAAACAATCGGAAAGAAAAACTATGGCAGAGAGAGAGAGAGAGAGACTCACAAACGTGATTGTATGACCATATTTCACATTTTTTGAGTCTTCAACTTCAATGGAAGTCAGAAATTTGAAAATCTAGCACAATTGAAGAAAAGAAATAGAAATTTCAGATGCAAAAGTTAACAAACTAAGCAACAAGAGAACTGTTGAAAAGCAGACACCATCAAGAATGTACAGAAATACCTTTTGATCCTCTTCAGTCAGAAGGCTACCAATGACAGGATGACTAGAGAGCTGCAAAGAATACATGTTAAATAGTTGAAGACAAAATTCATGTTAAATAAGGTCCAATTCACAAACATGGTAAATGAGGTGTGTAACTAACAGCTGTCAACCAAAAATCTGGAATAGATTGAATTATTTCATTTCGCTTCTGGTAGATGGGTTTCCGAATCTCGCTATACTTCTGTTCTACTTCCAAGACCTTATCGCTGGCTTCTTCATTGATCTGTGAGGGTGACACATGCCCAATCAAAAAACTAATTCCAATCTAGTCTAATATGCACAAACCTATCTTCAATTTCTACTTTAAAGCGCAAATTTCACCGCGAGATCACATAACCAAAAACCGAGTAAACTAGATATACCTTCTCCAGCTCATCTTGGATCGCTTGAAGGTTCTCGATTGAGAGGAGGAGGTCTTTGTCAATGCTGCTGTTTTCGTCTTTATCTTCTACCTTCTGCTTCTTCCCTTTATCTGCCACCATTTTCTTCTTTTTTCTTCTTTCTCTTTACTCTTCAGAGCACAGGCAAGGATGGAAAGCAGAGGGGCTTAAACCCTAAACCCTACTTTGTTTAGGTTTATATATATCGCAGACAAAGTCGTGACTGGGGCAGTGGGTGAGACCACAAAGCGATGAAAGCTAAGCGAGGTTAGGTATTTCTGTAGCGAGTGCCAAGTTGGGCACTATGGACTATGGTACGTGGCGTGGATTAATCTTACAATAAGAGAGCGCCGCCCATTATACGGAGTATAAAGTACTGCTCCCTACGTCCGGTATTAATCTACCCATTTTGACTTTTCTCCATTTTTATGGAGAGTTGACAATGGAATGAAAATGTCCAAACTGTCATTTTCTTTTGCCACTATTAACACTACCCTCACCTGCCTTCTGCCTTCCACAATCTCCGTGACTCTGTCCAATCTCACAGCCGCCGGCAGCCCCCCTCTGCCCCCACCCCCACCATCGCCAGCCCCCACCACCGTCCGCCAGCCCGACCATTGCCTTAGTCCCCACCACAATTATGGTCCGCTCCAATATATTAAATCTACAAAAACTGAGTACAACTCACCATCTTTGCCCACCCCGAGCACCATCATCGCAAGTCATACCACTGCATCAGTTGCCGCCATCGCTAGTCCTACCCAATCGCTTCCGCCACTAACATATTAAGAATAGATCTATCCAAACCTAGCAAATCCGGAAGACAAATAAACAGGAGAAAGGAGAAGGAGCTGGAGGAGGACGAGTGGATTTGGAGAAAGAATATGAGGGAAAGAAGAAGGAGAGAGACGAGGAGGATCAGATCTTGAGAGAAAAGAGAAGTGAAAGAATATGGGAGGGGGGAGAGAAGAAAAAGAAGAGAGGGGAGAAATAGAGCGGGGGAGGGGGGCAATATGAGTGAAGAGTGATAAATGAGTGGGGGTATTTTGGGTAGTTTGTGTGTAAAAAATTGAAATGGGAAGATTATTTCCAGACGGAGAAAAATGAGAAACGGGAAGATTATTTCCGGACGGAGGGAGTACTAATGTTCATTACATAAATATTCTAAATTTTTGACATTATTTAAATATAATTCTATCTATTTTAATTTTCTAATAATTATATTCCTATTGCGCGTGAAAAAGACTGGCAATCGGTTCACTCTCGATTCGGGTCTCTTTCAGTTTATGTTATAATCGATTTGGGTTGGATTGGGTTGGTTCAATTCGGTTCCAGATTTAATTTGCTTGATTTTTTGGTTTTGGTTCAGTTAAATATTGATTTCGGATAAATATCGATCCATGTTTAATTTAGTTTGGGTTTATATCGATTCATGTTTATATCAATTTCAGATGAGATCTCTTAATATTAGAGTTTTTAATGTTAGTCTTGGGTGTAGTCTCACCTCTCTTGTGTAAAGGGGATATATAGTGTCACCAATAATATATCGTGTTACGATGTGACTATAAATCGCATAAACTCTGTATAAAAATAGATAACCATCTTAGTTTAAGTGATAAAATATAGAGAACCATGGTTTGGCTGCCAACGTCGAAAACTGATGTCAAAAACCAAATTCTACAAAATAAAAACAAAGTGTTGGAAACTCTTATATAATGTATTTTATGTAGAAACCAAGTACAAAAACTTAAAAACCACGTCATTAAAGTAAAAACCACGGCTAGCCAAGTTTATGTCGTTTCACGTGGTTTTCACCAAAAAACCAAAAACGAAAGGTGGTTTTTGACATGTTTTTGTTGGATAACTATTTGGATATTCCCAGAAGTAAAAACCAACCATGAAATCTTAAAAACCACTTGATTGATTTGGACGCCAAAAACCAACGCCGATAACCAGCGCCGAATGCCAATAACCAACACCGAAAAACAAAGGTTATGGTTTTCGAAAACTAATCATTTGGAAAACCTTTAAATGTGTTTAGAAGCAAAAACCAAATATAAAAACTGAAAAACCATTTGGCTAAAATAAATGCCAATAACCCATGCCGAAAACCGAACTCCATAGTTGAACCCCGATAACCGATGGTTATGGTTTTGGTTGGGCAAGAACCAGGGGTTTTAGAAACTTAAAACCATTTATGAAAACACTCATTTGATACATGAAAAACATATTTTGTTTTGAGCCATGACTTAGAGAAATTGAATGAGCTTGTTACAATAAAAACCTAAGTATTTAGACAACGTGTTCCAAACGCTAATGTTGTCGTCGTTAGAAACGTCAATGACTTTTTTGTGCTTTTTGTTCCTTCAAAGAGCTTTTTCTATGACTTTGAATCTTTTCATTTTGTCCCAAGTTCCCACGGATAACCCTAAGATTGTTTATACGGTAGTGACCGATTTTCAACGAGGGATTGAAGAAAAATTCCCTCAATCTTAGTTGAAGAGGAGTCACCAGCACAAAACAACAAGGGAATGGAAGAAAATGCTACGAGACAAAAGGGAAGTCACCTTGTGCCATCAGATAACATGGGTCAATGTGGACGCGCGGCGCTCTATCCCCTCCCTTTCTATATAAATACCTATGTGACCCTCAAATGAAGGGATCCGATGAAGAATGAATATTTTCACATAAATTATTATGGGAGATCACATGTGTATATATACAAAGGTTTCCTAATGATAATAGGAAACAATATTAAATGCACCGTATACAATTATGGTAGCTACCAATATACATTAATATTAAATATACTAAGAATATATTTAACTTTTGTATTTGAAAAGTCAAAAGTGTCACATTTTTCCTCTCTCCCTCTCTCTCGGCAGTCATGGCCGACGCCAACTCCGCCTCCTCCGGCAAGGTGATCTCAACCTCCGATAACTCATCTTCCAACAACTCCCCCATCTCCCCCCATTTAGTACTACCAAAAATGTGACACTTTTGACTTTTCGAATACAAAAGTTAAATATATTCTTAGTATATTTAATATTAATGTATATTGGTAGCTACCATAATTGTATAGGGTGCATTTAATATTGTTTCCTATTATCACTAGGAAACCTTTGTATATATACACATGTAATCTCCCATAATAATTTATGTGAAATTATTCATTCTTCATGGTATCGGAGCAACCCTAATTCTCGGCCTCTCGTCTCCTCTCTCTCTCTCGATCGGCAGATCCCCAACCCCCCTACTGCCGATCCTCTCTCCCTCTCTCTCGGCAGTCATGGTCGACGCCAACTCCGCCTCCTCCGGCAAGGTGATCTCAACCTCTGATAACTCCTCTTCCAACAACTCCCCCCATCTCGCCTTCACAACTATATCCAACATCAAACTCCATATTCCTGTTCAACTCAGTCTCTCAGAACCAAACTACAAAAAGTGGAGTCGATTATTTCGTCTTTTGATCCTCCGGTTCAACCTCAAAGGCTACATCGACGGCACAACCATCGCATCCTCCGCGGACAATGCCGAATGGTATCAATTTGATGCTCTCATCCAAGGATGGATCCTGTCTGCGATCACGGATGAAGTCTCCGACCTTGTGCTCGCCAACAATCTCTCCGCTCATGCACTATGGATGGCAATTTACAATCTTTTTCACGACAACAAGCATGCCCGGGCGATGCAACTGAGCACCGATTCCGTACAACCGTGAAGGGCCACCTCTCCATCAACGAATATTGTCGTCTTCTCAAGAATCTCTCCGAGTATCTCGACGATGTGGATGCCCCGGTCACTGAACATGCCCTTGTACTCCAAGTTCTTCAAGGCCTCCCTCACGACATCCGGGGTCAAGTTGAGTTTTTGCAATATCAAAATCCACTCCCGACGTTTCCTGGAGGTTCGGTCCGCCTTGCTCCTCGTTGAACAGCAACAAACCGACCCTGTATATGGCGCCGGAGCGCCGTCCACTGCCCTCCTCAGCACCGGCGGCGACGGCGGACACAGGAGCAGCGGACACCGGCAGGACCGAGGCAGCGGCTATGGCGGATCTGGGAGCAGCGGCTTTGGCGGCGGATTTGGTGGCGGCTTCGGCGGACGCGACAGGAACTCCGGTAGTGGCAGTGGAGGCAGCAACCGCGGCAGGGGTCGCGGCGGCGGTCGCGGTCGTGGCGGCGGCGGCAACTCACGGCACCCCCCTAGCTACACTCCCTAGACAGTCCCCTCCCCTAACCCAGGGTTACTTGGGCCACGGCCCAACACCCCCCACCCCCTAGCCCAAGCCCACATACACCAAGGCCCATAATCACCCAACCCATATTCATCCAACCCCTTTTACCCAACACCCAGCCCAACTTACCCAAACCCAAACCCAAACCCATTCTCCCCTACCCAAATCA